AGGCAGGCAAAGTTCCTCTCAAGTAATGTTTTCTAAGTTGCAGAAAGTTAATACAGTATTTGAAATTTCCTTCCCTGTGGATTTTCATGTTTCTAGTTGCATCACAGGAGCTTCAAGAATAATCGGTGGGATAGGAGGGTAACTCGCCATAAAAACCTTCTTTTGATGAAGTTAGTGCTTGCAGCAGCAAATGTAATTAAACTGAATTTATGCACATCCGTTCACTGTTGTGCTCCAGAAATACTAAACCTTAAAGACTTCTATTTGAAAAAAAATCAAGAATAGCAGAAGAATCCTGCTCCCAGATGCCTGGATACAAAAAAAAAGCAGAATTGGATAACTCTGCAATACACATCAGACCCTTAAACCATCTCCTTCGAGGAGCACCTGGGAAACCCAGCCAGCATCCTGCCCTGAGGCTGGGAATGGAGCTGGCAGAAGCCAGGTCTGCAGTAGGGGACAAGGACTCAGGAGATCCTCACACCTTCCCCAGGGCTGTCCTGGGCCTGGTGGCCCTAGTGACTGAACAACCCCGGTGCCTCTGTTTCCCACATCCAGCACCGAGACCATAAACCTCCCTTTAGAGAGAGGGTGTTGTAAAAATCTTCTGATCTTCGGTCAGGAAGTGCCATAGAAGTGCCAGGATCCTGGGAGTGTTTCTGGAGGACGTCTACACGCTCTGGTCTCAGTTTTGATGTCATGCCCAAAGGAAAGCTTGTCGCTAGGTACAACCGGGATGCACCAAAGCAGACTGGAGACTGTACATAAATCTGTAACTTATGTATTTGTAATGGAGATGGACTTGGTGTTACAACTTAAGCTCCTGAATCAGGCGATTTGACCCACCAGGAAGGTCTTCGCTAACGACTGTCCAGGCTGCGGGCCACAGAGAGCGCTAGACCCGCTCCTTTCCACCGAGCAACTCTGTTGTCCCACAAGAGCAATGACTGTGGAGGCCCCCGCGCCGCGGCAGCAGGGGACCCTTGGCAGCGCTGCAGCCTCCTGAGCGCGCCAA